AAACGCGCTGAGAAACTTCCCAGCGTGGCAGCTGTCTGTGTGCTTTCCAGTGAGAGAGCCGACAAATAGTAGAGTCGAGAGTGTGGGGTAAAAGCGGAAATGACGCCACATGGTGAGGCAGGCGGCATCGTAGTATTTGCAAATGTGCAACGTGTGGAGACTTTTAGCCGAGGCACGCCGCAAAGCAGCTGCTGCTAAAACGCAGTTCCCTCCCACACACTGGTGGCCAAAATATTATGGAAGCCTGCGTACTTTAATCATTTTAGAGCTGCTAGAAACTGGTAACGAAAACATGCGAATATCTATTGATAAATATGTCCAAAGAGAGCCTTGAAAACACCCCAGCTGTGGGAGATTAGGGGGTGACGCGACTGTGGTCTCTGCACACTCTCTCCCTCTTTGCCCAGAACATATGTCAGATAAGCGGCGTGACGTGTGAGCGCCATATGATTCTGATAAGCCGGCACAACTTTCGCTGCGAAAAACTGCAACATTCTGCAGAGAGCAAATAAGTACGGTACGATCAACAATTACAGATAGAGCAGGAATGAAAGAAAAAACAAATTAAACTGTACATTTCTGGGCTGGTGCTAAGCGCTCTTCTTTCTTTTTAGCGCACTTTTCCCTAGCACAGCAATCGCATTTGCCGCTCTGCACTCGTCTTCTTTCCCCACAGAGCATTTTTCACTCGCACTCTCAGCCACAAGGTGGTCGTGTCGTTGTCGGCCACTGTTGCGCTTGTGTGGGTGTGTGTGAGAGGGAGAACGAAAGCGACGCCGCTCAGGTAGAAACACATCGTGTGAACAGTGCAAAACCAACCATATGATGATACACGCATACCGGTACAGCTGATTTCGATTCGACTAGCATCAGAAAAATGTTGATTAGTTAGGCAACTAGTGATAAGCAGAGGGAGAGGGACAGCTGTTTCTTTCGAACATGTGAGCGCAAAGAAGAGAGCAAGAAGAGGGGAGAGAGCTGCACGATCGGCTGGCGGCTAGCAGCTGTAAATGTTCGAGAGAGAGATTTAATGCCGATTTCAGGCTAAAAATATACTATAAATGTATTTCAATACTCAATTAACCAAAAATTCGTTCGTTTATGAGCTCAAATACTGAGAGTTTTATATTTTTCTGCTGGCACAATATTCTGGCCTGCAGTGTAGCGCCGCTGAATAAATTCACAAAAACAGCCGTTTTTACAATATGATATGGACGACAACGAGGCAAAAAGACAAGAGCAGAGCAGAGCCAGAAAGAGCGGAACAAGAGGAAGAGAAGGATGATGAAAGAAAAAAAAGTAGCGTCACATTTATTCCAGCAACAAGAAACAGCATGGAAGTGGAATGGTGTGGAAATGGGAATGGAATTCGACTGCTGCTGCTGCATTGGTAGTGGTGGTGGTTGTGTTTTTGTGCCGTATTTGTTTTGTCGGCAAAACAGGCGGCAAAAGTTCTACGCTCTCTCTCTCTCTCTCTCCATGCGCTCTCACTCTCTGAGGAAAGAAGGAGAGCGAAAAGGCATTGCAAAGGGAGAGAAAGAGACCGCACGTTCATAGTAAAAATAATCAATAATTTGCGTGATAAAAAATGCAACCAAAGCTGTGGGTCTCTTGTTACTGTTATTGCTATAGGCATAAACATAAACATTTAACCGTAAAGATTTGTAATGCGGTCTTGGGGACGGCAACTTACTGTAATTCCTCATCCAATTCCTCTGCGCTGTTGTATTCGGCGTTTTCTAGTATGACTTCCTCCGTTTTGATGGCGACCGGTACTCCAGACATGTTTGATCGTGTATTGGCTTATTGTGGGCGACGCAAATCGCACAGTAATCGTCGTTGTCGTTTCTCTCCCAATAATTCTCTTAGCCACTGGTGATGCACGTGTTTTTATTGTTGCTATTTTGTTGCATTTACTTTGTTTCAGCCTCTACTCTACTCTTTCTACTATATTTTGCTCTCACACTTTGTTGTTTGTTGTTGCTGTTCTATTTCCACTCTTATCGCTTCTACTCTTTCCACTCAACACACTCACACACACGTACGGCTATCGATCGTTGTGTCAGCTGGTCTTTCAGCTGCTTATTTAGCGGCAAATTGTTTGGCCCCTCGCACACACATACACGAACGCACAAACTCTCAACAAATTATATATTTTAGCGGCTTTGCTACCGATCCTGGGCGCTCAGAGTGAGAAGTTTCCCTTGTTTTCCTAATCTCTGGTGTTAGTCGCAGCTGTTTTTTATTTTGCTACAGCACTTTGGTATTCACTAATACACACGCGCGCGCACTAGTATCAATGGTTGAACTGTACGTGAAGCGCCAAAGATCTGTTGTTGTTTCGCTCTCCGCGACCGAGAGTTATAGATGTTTAATATGCATAAATATTTTTTTTAGATTTATTCGTAGTTGATATTATTTCTGCGAAAATATCAATATGATGTATCAACGGACTCGGAGAAAATTTCCGACGCTCTTTTCACGTTGTGTTCTTTCCGCGGCCCCGGTAATAGTGTGGCTGCGGATTTATCTTTTTAAATATACTGTCTGACCCTCAAAAATATACCAAAGTTACATGCTCATTTTCAGTATGTACCGTAAATGTACTGACGGACACGACAAGATGCGTATGATATTCCTCGATTCTGATATTCAGTTTAATATTAATAACTAGTTCGGACTTAAACGACTGAACATATCATTTCACCAGATAGATGATAAAATTTTCTACAATCTGGCTTATTTTAAGGACTCCCATTTATTGGATTACTTATAAAATAAGGTTTAAGCAAAGGTCAGAAAAATTTTGATTTTTGTGCACGGTAACTACACATTTGCTACATATGACACTTTGTATACCCAATTGGGAAATTTCCTTTCAATATTGTTAAGCTTCTGCATTCCAATTGGAGTACAGCAGCTTAAGCTGCTTTGAAACCTAAGTAACAATGAATTTACTCGTATTGGCTTGTTTTTGTCACGTTTGGTAACAGCAAGAACACCATAAACCATAATTGAGATTGATTATAAATTTAGTGACAATATTCGCATGTACAACTACTCATAATACAAAAAACAGTTTATAAAATCGATCATTGCATGGATGACAAACATCCGTTTTATTTCTTCCTCTTAAGGATGAAAGTTTAAAGGAAACTTTTAAATGCTGAGAAAAGTTAAAGTGTGTTTGGCCAAGAGGAAAAAGGTCACAAAATTCGAAGCTTGCAAGGATAAAACCCACCCCACCCACATAAAACACCGTGGGCAACGCGTTTTTTGTCATTAACCAATGAAAATTTTCTAAATAAACCTTCAAGATTTATAAAATCGAGGTATTTTTATAACGAAAAGTCCTTCGGGGCCAGGGTGATCCTTGTACGAGGCCCTTAAAAAAGGCTTGCCCGTTTTAATACTGGGGCCATACCTTGCCATGACCCAGTCGAAAGAGAACACTGAAAACGCTGTCCGGACTCGTTTTTTCGTTTAAGTATGAGCGCAAAAATACCCCAGAAATATACCGTAAATATACTGACGGATGCAGTGATATTCCTTAATTTTTATATTTAGTTTAATATTGCCAGCTAGTTGGCCCTCTCAGCCCTAAACAAATAATTTTACCAATTCCTCAATAAATTTTGTTCAGTATTGGCTAGTTTTCAGAACTCTTTTTCATTGGATTATTTACATAAAAAGGTTCAAACCAAAACGGCCAAATCATAAAACGTAAATGTTGACTAAATGTGACGTCATTGTTGCTGGTCAACCAAATTTATTTATTTATTAATTAATTGACATTTATGCCGGTTCTGATATCTTTTATTTGTACAGCGATAAAGTAGTCGTTAAAAACAATATACACAACAGAAACAACTGTTTAAAAATTCGAATGCATATCTCTCAACAGCTACTCAACCGTGGACTACTCTGAACGCTAGACGGTTTGACAGCTGACATAAGCTGGCTTGTATGAAACGGATGTTAAATTCGTTTTTTCTTCGGTATATTTACGGTATATTTCTGGGGTATTTTTGGGCTCACAATCTAAACGCAGAAATGAGTCCGGAGAGCGTTTCAAAATTTGTGGTTGTTCCCGTAAGATACATTTGATTTGTATGGAAAAAATTTCAGCAGCATGTGGAAATGAATATGCAGCATTGCTGTGCAACTTTGGCACGAAATGAGCAACAATCTGCATACCTTGGGAAAATGGATATTATGGACTTGAGATATTGTTTGTAATTTCAGGCACCAATTAATGCAGAAACTACTCAGTCTCTGTTCTAAAGATATTAACAAAATTTTGCAGCTCACGGGTTCCAATAACAGGTATCAGAACCGGGATAAATGTATATATAAAACACAAACATGTGCATTAATAGGTAAAAAACATGTCAATCTAGGATAAAATCATAAATAATGTTTCAATGGAGCTTGGAACAAAACATTTAACATCAATTAAAAGAAATAGGGTATACAAAAGTACATACGCATAGAAGTAACTTGGTTGACCAGCAACACTGACGTCACATTTAGTCAACATTTACGTTTTATGCCTTGGCCGTTTTTGTTTGAACCTTAATATGTAAATAATCCGATAAAAAGAACTTCTGAAAACCTGCCAATCTTGTACAAAATCTATTGATAAATTGGATAAAATTATTTGTCTAGGGCTGAGAGGGCCAACTAGCTAGTAATATTAAGCTGAATATACAAATTATGGAATATGATTTCAATCAATAAAGTAGAACGTTAACCCATTGTCGACCAGGGGGGTATTTAATATTTCCACGAAATTTATGTAACTTTAACATATTTTACGCATTACAGGTGAAAGATGTCGCTGGTCATTTTTGTTTTGTAAGTAAAGAGGAGGATGAAGCTACAAGGAGCCGTTACAAACAGTAATCTTTCCGCGGTTTAACATAGGGTGCTCAACTTTTTAAATAGAGGGGTGCTTAGTGGGTTAAGTGGGCTGGATCGCCGGATTGCCTCGTTTTTCTGCCCTGGCTCCATTTAAAACTCTGACAAACAAAACAAATTTTACGCGTAAATTAAGGGAACGGAACAATTGAAACCAACAAAGGCAACAAACTGAGCAACCAGGCAGTAGCATGTAAAGATGCTAAATTACATCAAAAGGCAGACGAGTAAGTGGCTGGAATTGGCAAATTTCTGTCCCTCTTTGGGATGACACCAATTTAAGAAAATTTCTTTTTTTTTTGTTTTGTGGCAGGCCGTCGTCGCAGCAGCGCCCACGACGCCCCGGTGGCTCCCACTGATGATGTGGACGTGATAGACTGTGCGGCGCAGAAGCGCCATTCGCTGCGGTCCACAACCAGTTTCTGTGATGAGGTTTTTATGGAAGAGGAGGAAGGTGGCGGTAGCGGCAACGGAGGCGCATTCGATGCCGTCAGCCTGCTGAATGGCGGGGGCCCTGATGATGGTAATTAACCTGAACAATTGCTTATCACGTTTCGCACCTTTCTATCAACCATTGTTTTTTTTTTTTATTGGCAGACATGTTCAAATACAATTCCCGGCTCTCGATGGACTTGGCGGCCATTGTCAGCGAACCGAATTGCTTGAGCTATTTCATTCAGTACCTGGAGACGCGACAGGCCCTGCCATTGATAAAGTTCTATCTGGATATAGAGAACTTTAAGAGGGCGGCTGTGGGCCAGACCGAGCGGGAGAGGGTAGAGCCCGAAGCGCCTGCAACCAAAGCGGAACAGAAGCCAAACGAAGAGAACGATGTACCTGAACTGAAGACGCTGTGCGATCTATCTATGCGGAAGCCCCTCACGGACGACGAGAAGAGCCGCATCTATGCGGAGACTAACAAACAGATCAACAAACAGAAGGCCTGCAGCGAGCTGTCGCTGGCGAGCATCAGCGATGCCATAGCCATCTATCAGAAGTACCTGATAGTCAATGCGAATCTGCAGGTGGAGTTGCCCATTGTCATTCTGGCGCACATATCCCTGCTGCTCTGTGGCAGGGATAAGACGCTGCCGCACCATCCTATCCCTGCAAGCTGCTTCGATGAGGCTCGCGACTATGTCTTGGAGCAGCTGGAGCGAGAGCATGTGCAGGGCTTCCTGCAGAGCAGCTACTACTGCAGCTACTGTCTGGAGCTGATCGAGGGCGAGGGCACGATCAACATCTACGATGTCCTATACAGTGAACTGGCTCTGTTCTACTTCACGGAGTATCTGGAGCAGCAGCAGGAGCGCGAGTGCCTGGAATTCTGGATCACGGCCATCAATTTTCGCAAGAGTTTCGCCGGCGATGAGGACCAGCAGGCAGCCCAGGCCGATGCCATGATCATTTACGAGAGGTACTTCTCCCTGCAGTCCGAGTGTCGTCTGTGGATGTCCCAGAAGCTCCGGCTGCGCGTGGAGCAGGCCATCTGTGGCCCCGATGAGATGTGGCAGGCCTTCGATCTGGCTCTCCTCGTCACGGCCAAGTATCTGGAACAGAAGTACTTTGCCGATTTCCTCAAGTCCCACATCTTTGACAATTATGTCAATGAACTGAAGGCCAAGCGGGGAACTCTTGTCGCCGCGCAGGATATGCCCGACTCCAGCAACAGCTCGCTGTCGGGGCTGCAGCACAAACTGAGCCTGCGGCGGGCTTCCAAGGTGTCCGCCCAGCAGAGGCATCGCAAGACCATGTCCATGTCGGACTGCACGCACATCTCGCAGCACAATACCCTGCTGGCGGCAATGGATCAGCACACGAAGTCGCCAGCAGCCGCTTCAGGAAATCTGAACATCGATGCCCGGCAGCTGACGAATCCACAGCTGCTCTGGCAGCGACCAGTGGGTGCTTTGAAATTTGGTTTTGTCAACTCCCTGGGACGCTACGAGCGAGACTTTGAGGCCGTGGATGCGGTGGCGCTCAAGTCGCAGCCGTGGTCATTAGGCGTCAGCGGGAGCAAGATCAAGAATGCCATGCGGAAGCTGGTCAATCTGCCAGAGGACAATGTGCAGGAGGAGATTGCCTGGCAGGTGGCCGAGATGATTGTTAAGGATGTGACAAGCATTACCCTCAAGGGCGCCTCTGGTGTGCCTTAAGACTCTATCTCTTCCTCGCCTAATGTGCTTTTTATTTAAATCGAATTTTAAGAAATTATTTCTCAAATTTTATACATACTTACAATATTTAGTTTATAATTTTTGGCGCTCAATCAAATCAAACAATAAGTGCACAAAGGAAATCTCAACGAAGCTCTCTCTCTCTCTCTCTAAACACCTTTATATTCCACTTCCCCCCCCCACCACTCTCTTATGTACAAAATATGTTGAACAAAAAAGCAACTTTTTATTATTATTAGCTATTTTACATATACATATATTTATGTTATATTTATGCTGCTGTGCGCTTTGAAAGCCTATTTTGAATTCAGAGCTAGCGATCGCTCATTTTTGTTATTTAAAGCGGATATCGCAGTCTCAAATATGTATATTCAAGAAGTAGTAGAAGCTATATCCCTGAATGGGAATGATGGATCGATCGCTCGCAAACCGTTTTGATTTGATTTCATTCCGTTTATTGTTTTAATCATTTTTAATATAGATTGTACTATATGAATATTTTTGCATACTGAAAACTACAATGGAAAATTTATTGTTATTAATAAACTTTTTCTATAATCAAATATGAGGTGTACTGTTTGATTTATCTTAAGAATGCTTCGAAACTGTTAAAGATATCTTGGGTTTCGGTTACTAGTTGCCAGGTTTCCACTACACTCCTGAGCATAGTCACTGTACGCCGCATTACACAGAGCAAAAAACGCGAGTGCCGCAATAGAATAGGCAAAACGAGAAGAATAAGGGATAGCGGAACAACAAGCAAGCTTGGGGGTTAAACATATCCAACATTTCTACCACTTGGATGTTTTTCCTCAGTTCTTTTCTTGAGTAAGACATATATTCATTAATTTTGATATATTAAGAAACCAGACAACTGTTGAGGAATCAGCGACGCCCAAAGACGCGGCTGTGATCCAAAAGCCAGCTACCCAAAAGCAGGTCGAGAACTCCAAATAGAATAAGCGACGGCCTCCAAATAGAGGCAGTGCTTATGACAATTTCTTGACGGAGTACCGCAGGAATCATCCAGATGTGGAGCAATCTCAGCAGTTTCTCGATGGTGCTTTAGAGTGGCGAATGTTAAACAGAAGGGAGAAGGATGGATTCCGTACCAAGAGAGACAAAAAGGCGAAACAAGATGAAGCTAAGAATGAGGAGGAGATCCCAGCCGCAAAGCTGTCTGCTTGGCACTCGTTGATAACTTTTTTTTTTACGAAGAAACCATTGTAATCCGTGTTAAAATTCAAAGTTGAAGACAATTATATTATTGATAATATTATATTAAGTTCATCCATAAAGATAATTTTTCTATTAAATCAAGTTCTTTCTCCCTAACATTGCTTTGAATTTTAAACAGAGGAAAACGCCTACTAAGGTCCTATGACACTTCAACCTTTTGCGATTCAAAAGTTTAATTAAAAAGCTAAGGGATGGCACGTACAATGTTTTTGGGACAAAATTAAACCGATGCAAACATTTCTCTATCTCTTTGACTCTTAAACTTTATTTAAACCATATTTTAATCTAGCGCAGCCACTCCTAATCATCTGCCTTCTGCCCACTCTCCATATCTTGGGGGACTTCTCCCGTTTCGCTGAACCAGCGAAGGATACGCAACATTGTCTTCGCTGAGTACAGGCAGAAAGGATACTCATTGTAGCAACGATCCGTGGAGCCGCGCAGCGCCAGGCCCCGACTGAAGGCGCGTCCGATTTTGGCCGGAGCCAGCTCCAGCGATGACTCCAGGTAGTCCATGAGGAGCTCGGCCTCGGGAGCAGCTGCTTCGGCACCGGACATAAGCTGACAGATCAGCGACTGAAGGCACTCGAAGGGATCGCGCGAGAGAATGCGCTTCCAGTCGATGGCGGGTGGAGGAGCTCGATATGGACCCCGTCCAGAGTCGGGAGTGCCAGTGCCTCGAGCCCTGTGGTATGTGGGCGCCTCTCGTCTACCACGAATCCGAGTGAGGGCCGCACTGGCCTGTCCCGCCAGAGCTGGGAGTCTGTTCAGATTTAAGCCAGAGCTAACCTGACCCGCCAGCGTGGTGATGCCCTGGATGGGGCGTATCCTATTCCAGTCCTGTGCCAGCAGATGCATCATGTACATGGCCCCCAGGCCCATGGCAGCCAACATTATAAATCTGCAGAGGATGATGTTGCGTCTTAGAGCTCTCCACCTTTCACTTACGAGATGTGGATCGAACCCACCTGAATCCCATGTCTATCCGGGAGTGTCCTGCGTGTCCGTTGAGCTTCGTTGTCAGCGTTCAAATGGGCAATCTCCCCAAGCTGCAGTCATGTTTAAGCTTCAAATTGGATGCCAAAAATCGATGCCAGCTGCCAGGCTCCAGTCCCAGCTCCAGCTTCAGCTCCAGCTCCACTTTCGACCACCTTTCGTAAAAAACCGGAACCACGCGAAGTTATCATCAAAACAAAGTCCATCCCACTCCGCTTGCTTTCCGCAATGGCGATGACATAATAGCCTCATCCAATCGAGTTGTCCAGGCTCTCCCCCAGTCCTCAGTCTTCAGTCTTCAGTCTTCAGTCTTCAGTCTCCAGTCTCAATCTCGGATGTGGTTTCCCTTTCGTTTGGTCAGCAGCCAGCCAAACGGGTTTCGCTCTCCATGTACGCATTTTCTTCGCTTTTCTTGTTTTCCTTGACTTTGGTTTTTGGGGGCCTCTGGTTTTGGACTGTACTGTGGCTTTGCGGTGGCTGTGTGCTCATGCTCATGACCATTGCGGTGGGTCGGTGGGTTGTTGCGTCAGTCAATCCAATCCCCTAGAAATTACTATTGAACTTTCCACACAGTGGGCAGTGGGTCAGTTTTCGTTCGGTTCAGATCTGGGTCTTTAAGGCTCCAAGCTAAAAGCTTTTGTAATAACAGAGTTGTGGCAAAAACAATGGGGGTCAGGAGTAGTTTGCAGTTTTCCGTAGATGGCGATACTGGTTTGTGGATTGGATAGATTTTGTACCGGTTTCCACCAAAAGGCAGGGCATAATTTTTAAATGTTTTTTTTTTAATTAAATAAAAAATTAAAATTAAAAATTGTGCCTTTGTAGCAAAATATTTATTCACGAATTTGAATATATTTTTTAAGCAATGTTTTTTAAATTAAATTTCCACATACCGAGTAAATTTTTATCCTCGTTCGAAAGCAACTTAAAAGTGTTTTGTGCTAACATTTGAATGGAAATGATGATGATAACCCAGCAGATATTTTCCAGCAAAAGCAGCGGCTTTGTGATAAGTTCTTGAAGCGATATAAAGCATTTTCTACGACAGTTCTGCATTAGTTAAATCTTCGTTAAGAGAGAGAGAGAGTTCATAGTAGAAATAAAACCTTGTTTACATTCCATTTTACACTTGGGTGATAATTTGTAAAAAACTCCACGAAATGTGAACCTACCTGCAACATATTTAAATTTCGTTGAGAGATGGGAAATCAATACGAGGATAAGTTTTTTTTTATTTAACCATCAACCAAACTTAGCTTCCATTTCCCTAGACAACCGCTAAAGGATCTTTTCTCAAAGACACTACAAATGTGAGTGCCATAAGCCCCTTAAGAAATCCCAAAAAGAAGGTTTCCATTGAAAGGTTTCCTCTCAAAGACTCCCACAACAACCACTCCTGCTCCCCATTTTCCCATAACGAGTCTTGCAAAAACTTTTCCGCCAAAAAGTAATAAAAGAAAAAGCTTTTTTTCCACCCAAAAACATCTATAAAAGCCAGGCCGCGTCACGTCAGCGGATTCAGTCGATTTGGGTGAACCGTTAGCCGCTGGACTCTGGGGAAGAGGAGACGCCGTAGTCGAAGTTGAAGTTAAAGTTGAAGTCGAAGCAGAGTGGATTAGAGTGCCACACATTGCATAACGCATTGCGACGTGGAAAAGTGAAAGTGGTCGTGAGGAAAACATGTTTTATGCGGTCATCTGGATTTTCTTTGCCACCCTGGTGGCGGTGCTGCTGGGCGGGGTGCGCAAGCCGAAGAGATTTCCGCCAGGACCCCGATGGTATCCGATTGTGGGCAGTGCCCTGCAGATCTCCCAGCTCCGGTGTCGCCTGGGCATGTTCTGCAAGGTGATCGATGTGCTGGCCAGTCGCTATGTGAATCCCTACGGCTTCTTTGGCCTGAAGATCGGCAAGGATAAGGTGGTGATTGCCTACACGAACGATGCCATCAGCGAGATGATGACAAATGAGGATATTGATGGCAGGCCCGATGGCATCTTCTATCGCCTGCGTACCTTCAATTCCCGCCTGGGCGTCCTCCTCACCGATGGCGAGATGTGGGTGGAGCAGCGCCGTTTTATTCTGCGCCACTTGAAGAATTTTGGCTTTGCCCGGAGCGGCATGACGGATATTGTCCACAATGAAGCAACCTGCCTGCTGCAGGATCTCCGGGCGGTGGTGCGCCGTGAGGGTGGGCATCAGGCCCGGATCGAGATGCACGACCTGACCAGCGTCTATGTCCTGAACACCTTGTGGTGCATGCTCAGTGGACAGCGCTACGAGCCGGGCTCCGCGGAGATCACCGAACTGCTGGAGACCTTCTTCGAGCTCTTCAAGAACATTGACATGGTGGGCGCGTTGTTCAGTCACTTTCCGCTGCTGCGCTTCATTGCTCCGGACTATTCCGGCTACAATGGCTTTGTGGAGAGCCATCGGGCTCTCTACACGTTCATGAGCAAGGAGATTGAGCTGCATCGTCGCACCTATCGGAACTACGATGAGCCGCGCGATCTGATGGACAGCTATCTGCGTGCCCAGGAGGCGGGCAACGATGACAAGGGCATGTTCTCGGACGAAAGCCTGCTGGCCATCTGCCTGGACATGTTCCTGGCTGGATCGGAGACCACCAACAAGAGTCTGGGTTTCTGTTTCATGCACTTGGTGCTGCGGCCGGACATACAGGAGCGGGCCTATGCCGAGATCAGGGATGTGGTGGGATTGGAGCGCATACCAGAGTGGACCCGCGATCGCTCGAACATGCCCTACTGCGAGGCCATCACCCTGGAGGCGGTGCGAATGTTCATGCTGCACACTTTTGGCATTCCCCATCGTGCGGTCTGCGACACGCGACTGGCTGGCTACGAGATACCCAAGGACACAATGGTCATTGCCTGCTTCCGTGGCATGCTCATCAATCCGGTGGACTTTCCCGAGCCGGAGACTTTTCATCCCGAGCGTTACCTCTTCGACGGACAGCTGAAGCTGCCAGAGGCCTTCAATCCGTTTGGCTTTGGGCGTCATCGTTGCATGGGCGATCTTCTCGGACGCCAGAATCTGTTCATGTTTACCACCACCGTGCTGCAGCACTTCAAACTGATGGCCATTCCAGGCCAAATGCCGGAGGAGGTGCCTCTGGAGGGTGCCACAGCTGCAGTGAAGCCATATGAGATCATGTTGGTCGCCAGAGCACCAGAACAGCAATGCTGAGCCATCTGTGTGCGGCTTAAAAATTAATTACATATATTTTATAGGTTTTTCTCTGTTAAGGTTCCGTTTTTGCTCTAACATAATTCATATATGTTGTAGGTCCTGGCCCAATCATTCTATCCTGAAAGTCTTTGCTAATAAAAGTTTGAAAATAAAGAATTTTACCACAACTCTGTTCTGTTTCGATTCAATCAGTGTTATAGCAACCGGAACTTAGCTATTAAATCTATAATTCATAGACTGCGGAGCAGCCAAGAGTAATTCTCTTTATTATTCGCTCATTGCACTTCCCACAGTACCCGAAACATTATTAGTCATAACAGCAATGCATGACAATCATCAATGACCGCTGTGAACTACATAAGTCTTGAGTCAACTCATCGTATTCCATCTAGAATGTAAAAACTTCGTTATGGTTCGGTCGCTATGCTGCGCATAAATCATAACAATACTCACCATATTCATTTAACATTACAATTAAATCAGCTAAGCCTTATATAAAAATCAATTTTCATGTATACATTCTCTAGTTAAATATTTAATTATCAATATCATTATAATTATTATTGTTCATTGTTGGTTTGTGGTGTTTTGTTTGTTTGTTTTGTAGTCTACAAAGTTGTCATTTAGTTTGGTTTTTTCTCTTCCACTCAACTTCACTCCCTTGCGATCGATCCTCCGATCGATCTTTCAGTTAACAGAACAAAAGCATTTAATACACATGTACATATATAGAAAACAGTAAATGAATGAAATGATTGGATCGGCTTATACAATATACAAAAAACGTAAGCGTACAGAACAATTATTGCCACGAACAAAATTACACAATGGATTTTTGAATGCAAATGGATTTGACTTTGCTGACTGAAGACTGACTTCCTTCGGGTCTCTTTTCTCTATTCTTTTGTTAAAGCTATTTGTTATTGTTAATGGAAAACAATTGTTGCTCGACCTTCGTCCTTTTACAATTATCTGTGTGTGTATATATTCAATTTAGCTTTTTCATTTGCTTTAAATTTAAATTTATATTTGTGTTTTTCGCTTTCGATATTTCTCACTCTTGAGCCTGCCTGCTAGACACTGGGCTTACATGATCTTACATAGATGTATATATATATATATATATATGTATGGTGTATATAATATATATATATGTAAAAACTCTAACAATGGTTACACAAAAGCAAAGCCAGCTTTCCACACGCAAGAATTATCCTTAACTTAGCTGCATTTCAAGCATTTCTATAAAGTAAATCTGCATTTTGATTCACACACACACACACACGCGCGAAAAAAACTTAAGTATCTGCTGCACCATTTATATGGCAATGGTTTATAACTTTAACTAACATTTCAATTCAGCTAGATGCAAGCCGATTTGATTACTGACTGTTGTTGCACATCAACATTCTTTTGGTCCGTGATTCCCAACGCGCGCGATAGAGGAAGAGTATAAATTACATTGAGTTTGGGGGGTTACAAATGAAATGTGAAATAAATAAAAGCGAGAATACAGTATAGTGTGTAGGGTGGTACATAGGTAGGGGGCTATAGGATATGTTCAGTTCCAAGTGATGGTTGTTTTTTTGAGACTAATTGGGAGACTAGCAAGCGTTCGAAATTTTGTTTGTGCAACATCAAAATCTGCGCAAAAATTGACACAAAATTACATTTCAGTTTTCCTTACTTTTCCATAGAACACAATCATGAGACAGGACGAGACGAGAGGCTACACCACATTGACTATAAAAAACTATAAAATTCCCTAAAAATGTTGCAGCGATTTCTGATTTCTTCACCTCCCAGTGGATCTCATCGTCTCCCTTCTCCTAAACTTTGCGTAACACAAACGTGGGCAACTGCTGGGCACAGCAGCAGGCCACAATGTACAGGATGCCAAAGAAAAAGTTCAGTTTGGCCGTCTGCCGTGGCACCAGATGCATTGTCTGCTCGTTGCGGAATCGCTTCTCGATCTTAAAGGCCTGCGGCAGGGTGACAAGTGGCAGCAGGAACCATAGTGAGTACTTCAGGCCAAAGATGAAGAACAGCGAGTAGGGTGTAAAAAGCAGCATGGCGTAGAGCACATGCGAGGCAGTGCGTCCAATGAGTATGGCCAGGGTGACAATGCCCGCTTTGCGATCGCTCTCCGCATCGCGTGTATTGTTGCTGTGGAGTATGGCCTCCGTGTTGAGGGCCAGCGGTATGGCATAGCCCATTGTTGTCCAATCGACATGACCGGTTTGTGACATGAATGCGAATAGCACCGAGATGGGTCCAAACAACACCAGGATGACCAGATCGCCCAGGGCAATGTATTTGAAACCAATGCCACCCGTGTACAGAAAGCTCGACGATAGACCACCAAAGTAGATCAGTGCCAGGTGCTCCATTTTGGCCGGACTGAGTACGGCGAGCAGCACAAAGCCCCCGCACCCGGCCATGTACAAGATGGCACCCAGCGAAACCACCTGCAAATGAGAACAACACAACATGTTTATAAAAACCATTAATTAAACAGCAATTAATATCGATCGATCGACCGATCGGATCGCTTGCTTACCTCATCCTTGGTGAGTATGTGATCGACCAGTGTGCGATCGTCAGCCTTCTGCTTGTCAATGCCTTTGATGAAATCGAAATAGGTGTTAACCACATTACCGGCACAGTGGACCGTGACCGCGGTGAAGGCGGTGAGGAAGAAGGTGAGCAGCGAGAATTCCGACGCCCACTGGGAGCGATAGGCCAAAGCAGAGCCCAGCAGCGTGGGCACCAGACTGGCGGACAGCGACCAAGGACGCAGGGCCAGCAGATATGTTTTAAATTTCATAAAAGTACCCGAATTGGCCAACATGGTGGATGCTGTTGTCGCCTTGCCGTTCGTTGCTGCTGCTGTTGTTGTTGTTGTTGTTGCGGAGGTTGTGTTCCCATTTGGCTGATGACGGGGCTGGAGCTCCTGCTGCAGCAGCTGCGCTGCGTCCGGCACTAGCCTGCTTTCGCTTCTACTTGTTGCCATTGCAAGCTCCAAACTATAACTGGCACTTGGGCTGCGGGGAAATCTATCTGCTCATTCGCTAGAACACACAAACTATTCTCCGTTTGTTTGACCTTCTACCGTGGGGTGTGGGGTGGGGTGGAATTGTTTATAAAGGCATAAATAATTCAGCGAAAAAATCTTTTGCCGGCACACACGGTCCTAAGGCGGATTTCCACTGGTCTGTGCATGTGTGTATTGTATTGTATGTGTGTGGCTGCGCGTACTTTCTCAATAATCGCTAATATTGTATACACAGCATCTTGTGTTGTTGGGTGTGTGGCGGCAGGGAGCTGGGGGATGGATACGACTGTGGGTGGGGGCGGGGCGCCTCCAACAGCAGCAGCAGCAGTGTCCCAACCACAAAATTTCACCGAGCAGCTTCACTTTGGCAGGCTTCTGCAAGCTCTTCACGTCCTGCGCCGATGTCTCTCGGCCAGTGGGGGACCAATCAGGGACACTCTGTGTGTAGTGGTAGCGCCCGCTTTGATTGATTGATTTATGTATAATTGAATTTCACTCTTTGGCTCTCTTTTCTATTTATTTTAATCAAACAAATCAACTGTCACGTCAGCGCTAAACGAATGAAGCGAATGCTTTTGTGCTTAACGATGAATTTAAAAAATTAAATATCGATATTTTTATTCAAAAGAACTTCACTGACTCCGTAGCCGTCATTAGGGGCATTCCTAAAAACATCTCTGACATAAAACTTCTTGACAATCTCTCCTCGCTAATTAAAATAAACAGTGCTGACCGCATTTTAAGAAAATCTAAAAATGAACCGAATGAAGTAGTTCTTGAACCAACTGAGACTGTAAAAATTTCTTTTGCAGGCCCCGAAATCCCATCGTCTGTTCAAATGTATGACATATGATCGCTAAAAGTCAGTTATTACATTCCTGCGGTTAGCAATACTTGCAATGAAAGTTGCAACATTAACAAGTGCATCTTCAGTGTGATGGGCACAATGCTTTTAAGAGAAACAAATGTCAGGTATGGGCCAGAGAAGTCGACATAGATAAAATGATGACTATTCAAAAATTAGCCAGGAAAGAAGCATTAAGCAATTTTCTTTCCAACAAAACTATGATCGCAATCTTGACTATGACAAAGAATTTCCTCAAATTACCAACAAAAATCAGTTAAATCAGAATATTACCAAATCAAATGATCAAATCTCCCAAAAATTAACAAGCTAACCATGTTTTAAAAAAGCATTCCTATAGCAGCAGACTTGTTCAACGCACTGTATGCTTTGCGAAACAAATGACTAACTAATGACTCCAGTGATCATGCCCATAAATTTTCCAACAAGGAAAATGGGGGACACTCTTAGCAGTGTCAGTAGCAAACAGCATGTAGGTAGACCCTTTCCACCATAATGCCTGTTAAGCTCTTACAAATTAACGTCTAATCCCTTAACTCTGGTGGATGTAGCATAGCTATTTTCTCCTATTTCTATTTTTTCTCATGATACCGCCTATAGAAAACTTATCAATTATGATCATATTGAAAAACATAGAGATAACGGTTACGGTGAAGTAGCCATTGCCTTTAAAAACGGTTTAAAACTTAAAAAATGCAACTTAAACAAAAACTTTACCATTGTCTTAGTCTACTTTGAACGCTCAAATAACATTGCTATTAACGAAAAGACCTAATCAGCCCCTAGTGTGGGTAGAATAGTTAACATACCTCTCAGCTTCGATGAAGTAATTAGAACAGTTAAGATCAGAGTGCAGATGGACTGGAATAATGAGTTTAAGGAAATATCAAAAATTAAAGGGGCTTATTTTGCTTCAATTTATAGCGAGATTCCAGTCAAACCGTAGCACTGGGCTCTTAGCTGGAGTGCAAAAAGCTCATAAATAGACTACTGATGGACGTACCTATGATCGCGCCTTTTTAAATAGGAAAAACTTCTGAAACTCACGCACACGAATACACTTTTCAACTAAATATTATATTGTATAATTAACTACACCGTTAACACCAACCCAAAGTACTTTGTTAAAATCATTACACCAAACATTACTTTGTATTGATGTTAATTATAAGAACATCATCTTAATGCAACACCGCGCATGCCCTCCACAACAAAACATCGATAGCACCATACCAACTGGAGTACCTGGTCATTGGAGATTCATCGTCGTGGGACCACTCAATTTTTATCCAGAAATGGACTATAATATTCACAAGATCTGCAGGGTTTGCCTGGAGGAGGGCACCCCGGCGGGACCGCTGACGTCCATCTACAGCACAGACTTTGCCATGATGCCCTCTGTGATGCTGATGCAGTGCGCCAAGATACGTGTAAGAGTACGCCCAATTGGAGTGAATCTTGTTTATGTTGATGTTTGTTTTCTTGATAGGTTTACAAGACAGACGCCTTGCCCTCGGTTATCTGCAATAATTGCATTTACCGCCTGGGAGTAGCTTTCCATTTTAAGCAGCAATGCGAAAACAGCGATCTGAGACTGCGTCAATATTTGGGTTTGGGTGTACTCGAGTCCTGGCGTCAGGATGCAGCCACCAACACGGACTTTGTAGAGAAACCCTTGCCCCCGCGTCGTATACTGATCTCCAGTGATGAGGAGGAGCCAACGCACACGAAGACGAGCAAACGACGCTCGCGCTATCAGCGCAAACCGCCCGAACAGCACAAGAAGCGCGGACCAAAACCCCTGCCCAAGATGCCACACACCTGCTACGAGTGCCACAAGAGCTTCAAGTGCATTGCCCAGCTTACCCAGCACATACGAACGCACACGGGAGAGAAACCCTATCAGTGCGGCTACTGCATCCAGCGATTTGCCCAAAAGTACAATCTGAAGGTGCACGAACGTACCCACACGGGCGACAAGCCCTTCCAATGCGAGATCTGCTCCAAACAGTTCTCGGCGCTGGGAAACTTTCAGGCGCATCAAAAGATCCACATTGGAGTGAGGGATCAGATCTGTTCGCTGTGCCAGAAGGGCTTCTACACGGCCGGTGATCTGTCCAAGCACATGGTAACCCACACCGGCATCAAGAATCATCATTGCGATGTCTGTGGCAAGGCCTTCAGTCGGCGACGTGATATGCGTTCCCACAAAGTGAAGCTCCATCCTCTGGAGTCCACCACGGTTCACGATAATGTGGATGATGATGATGATGAGCCCATAGACACAGATCCCGTGGGTCTGGATACCCTCGACGATGATCATGCTCATTTCAAGTGTCCCGACTGTGATAAAGCCTTCGATACTGCCGACAGTCTGAGCTTGCATTTCCGCACGCACGCTGTGAACAACAATCTCCTGAATCTACCCTTGCCACCTGCTCCGCCCATGTCACATCACTACCATCACCATCATCCGGCAGGGACTGGACCGTCCTCGGCAGCCATGCATCATCACGATGCGCTGCATCACCTGGGCCCGCCGAATGCAGCCACACAAATGGGAATGGCTGCGATGGCACACATGCTGGCACCACCGCCGCCGCCACCACCCACTCCCAGTGAGGGGCGCTACTCAATGCTCCATCATACGGCCGCCCAAAGGTTGCATTACTAATGTTAAGGGGAAGGGGGACTTTTAGATCGTATTGAACACACTTTTTATTTATGTCGTTTTTATAAAATGGAATATTTGCATGTCTGCTTTGTATCTTTACTATAAATACATGTAGAATTTGGCAAGCACAGCTTCTATAAGATCATTACGATTGCTAATGTCAATGGAAAGATCGTACTCCCTTTCGTTATACTTAAATGCAAAAACTAAACACACTAAAAACTTATACACATACACATGTACGTGTATAACTGGTACATAAAATTGTCATTACTGTTGTATATATATAGTATAAAACTAATATATTGATTTGTGTCGTAAAAAATTGTCGTATTTCAATATTGAATGGTTTGTTTGGTATTGGTATGCATTTGCATCGTTGGTATTGGCTCTTGATCTCCAGTTTATAAAGTGTATATATGTAGTAGTAAAAGAAGCTCCTCCAAAATAAGAGTTATCATAAAATATTGCTTTGAACAACGGCCTGGAATGGTATGTTGTGATCTTCTACTTTAGCTTCTCCCTGAGCCACTCCTCGGTTAGTTCGTCCAGTTCGCGTATTTCGTAGACACGCGTGAGATCCACCTCGCGCTGTAGAGCGCTCTTGGTGCAGGCATACATCATCTGCAGTTCAATCTGACTATCCCTCGGTGTGTAGAAAATAAAACACATCGGATATGATACACGCTGATCATCGTGCACCATTTTGTATGTATAGATAATATAGCGCGGCTGATGGCCTGGCAGTGTGTCCTGCAGCTCGTCCACAGATATATCATCAATGAATTCATCCAATACCACAGATTGCTTCTCTCTGTCGACTTTCACTGTTTGAAGGAGGGGGAAATATAGAAAGAGACCATCAATCAATGACATCCACATTTAATTTGTTGGGGACACGCAGACGAATGCCCCCGTAGCCATGGTTATTTCTGCTTACATATCAAAGCCGCATTGTTTTTGCTTTTACTGAAGCGAAATTTCTTCAATTCCTCCAGCACTTCGTTGCTGATGTCGCATATTTTGTTATCACCCTGCAGGGCAAAGATATTATATTAATTTATAAATGCACAGAAACAGAAACCCCGGACCTTATCTTACAAAAGCAATCACAAAACACAAAACACGCCCACAGGGGCCATTAGTCATGCTTCTGGTAATTGGTGTTCGACCTGGCCAAAACACTTACCATTGATATAGTTAAATGGGGAATATTTGGGCGCTGGATCTGGGCTGGGTACTTCTTTGGCAGCTCTTGAGGAGTAGTCTCGCTTAATTAAACACTTCACAAAAATATCACTGCCTTGCCTTTTGTTTGTTTGGTTTTTGAGTCTCAGAAATATACTGTAATATACCACAAAAGTGATGACATATACTTAGTATATACCGATAGTACGATAACTCATTAGTGATTGAACGAACTTAACCCCCCTAACACCCCTCTATTAAAACAGGTGAACCCACTTGCGTTAAGCCGCGTAAATAATACTGTTTTAAATTCATCTTGTAGATCTATCAAATCCAAACTAGTTTTATGAATTTGTTCTGTTGTTATACGTCCGTAAATCAGATATATCCGATTTCTGTTGACACGATATTGTGTCTATGGACTTATAAAGGGTGAACACAGCACCTGTTTTCCAGTACTGTCCACTCCACATTTTTACCGTTGCTTCAAAGTAACAATGGGGCGAGTTGAACTTTTTTCCAATTATTAAATTTAGCAGGTGCACATGTCATTAAAGTTTAAGCACCGCAACGTAAAAATATGCTTCAAAGTCTAGAATTGGCCCGGTATGAAACCAACCTGTTGGAGCCCTGCTGGAAGGCAGGTGCCGCCAAGAATCCACGAGCAGGTGTGAACCGCAATGAGATCGCTGCAGTGGACATAGTGGCCTGCTGGTAAGTAAATTTTAGTCAAAAAAAAGTACGTTTGCTCACTTGTAGGGCTTTTTAGCAAGCAGATCACTGATTTAATAGATGCAAATAAATTAAGAACAAACGAGACGAGGTCCTTGAACACGCTTACCAAAGGATATGTTCATTTTAAGAGCATAACGCGTCTCACCCATGGCGTGACCCATATATACAGGACTCAGGTGGACACATTGTTGGGTAAGTTTTAATAAAAAACAAACTTTGCAATTGCGAATTGTTAAAACATACAAATGACCGAATACAGACGATGCTAAACGTTTGCTGGATCAAATGAATCACACAACGTTCGACTTTGTGCTCACTGCGAAGAAAACGGTGGTGGTCAAACAGGAAGAAGGGCGAATGCATCGCAAGCGCAAGCACATTATAACCAAGCAGGCCAGGGTAACACTTTCGAAGCGTCCCAGATTCCAAGAGCCCGAGCTGCTGAATGACAACGTCTTGGATCACTATCGCACCCTCATGTCCGACTGCCAGGTGTGGCAGACAGAGAGCACACGGGAAGTCATGGAAGAGGTAGGATAGAAACCATGAAGTCCGCTCCTTTGAATACTTTTCAATATTTTTGCTGATTTATCAATAGTCCATTGAGATGCCTCGAATGGTTCAGGAAACAAGCTTGCGCCGTCATTTAACCATCACCGAAGAGTTTGCCGTCTACGAGGGGCATAGTGCTTTAACGGAAACCGAGGGATTTGGTGACACCGAGCAGGTGGATTTGACTATATTCGAAGAGCTCTACCCAAAGGACAGGCAGTCTTTAAAGCGTCACTCCGTGAGCCCGAATTCAACAGACATTTTAGATCCTAAAATGCCCCAATTGGATATGGGTATCAATCCATTTGGAACTGCAATTGCTGAAAATACTATTCAAACGATAATCGAGGATAATAGCATTACATCAGCGACGTCCACTGTATACCAACGAGGTGCAGATGCACCTTCGTTACCGTCACTTCCACCGCCCTCGGCCACCGATGATCATGTGCCCAGGGAGCAGTCGAAAAAACGAGGCAAACAAAAAAAGTTGATAGTTGATAAATGTATCAAATATTCTCGGGATGAACTAATCAAGCACAGACATCAATACATAGAGGATCACAAGAATAGAGTAACTAAAGCACTGCCGCCCAGTAAAATACTAAAAAGTGAAAAAAAACTTCTGTCAACTCTGAAGAACAAGTAAGAAAAGGAGACCATTCAATTCCATTAAAAAACTATTTCTTGAGCGCTTTCTTGGCAGCTTTATCTTTCCAGATGTGCTTAAGAAACGACAAAGCCAGACATTAACCATTGAACAAATGGAAAGCGACTGTGAGAGTACTTTACGAACAATTTTTGGTGGCGACTTTACAGACACTCTAGCCCAGGAGGTGTTTGGTAAGCTGTCAGAACTGTGCAAAGCAGCTAATCGAGGAGAAATATCTGTTGCTGTTCCGCTTGTGCCAGTTGAAGATGTGGAAAACATTACACCGCCTTCACTGCTGCCAGTAAATGCGTTAGCTCCCATCAATAACAATCATTTGTATAAGCACAAGACAACAAGCTATGAGTATAATCAATTTGGTAGGACACAGCAGCTCTCCCACATTTCAATAATTTTTAACACTTCTAATGTAATTACAGACAGCCACGATGTTATGATGGACCTTTTGAACATATGGCGCAGCCTGCCAGAACTCAAAGGAATCGATGCAAATGAATTCATCAAAACATTTCCGGACCGCATTAAAGCGGCCCTCGCTTTCAGTCATCTATTGTGTAAGTCCTGAAATGGATGTACTTTCAATTCGGTACCTTATCTTTTCCTTACAGCTCTCGTACGTGATAATTTTATAAATATCTCGAAAAGGCCCAACTCCAATGAAATGGATCAAATATTACTGGGTGAACAGTCCATCAGCCTAATTGTTAACTTATCGCTGGGCGAGCAGACATAATTTTGTTGTCTTCATTAAGTGTTATAGCGATTCAAAATTCGTAACGAATATTTTTAAGAATTGTTAAGTCCCCTTATGCGTATCGCAAGGACATTTTATCATTATCCCATCATGAAATCTAATCTATATAATTTTTGTTACTTTTGTTATTCCCATCATCAAACACCCATCTTTAAGTTTCTTTATATTTTTTTCTTTTTGTTACTATTACGTTATCGTAGTTATAATAATTCATCAACATTTTTCGTAATATTTTCTAAAACCGTACTCTTGTTGTCTTTGTTACAAAATCTCGAATTCTCTCCTGTGACAACACCAAAATAAAAACAAATTATTAAAATAAAAGGAATACAAAGTGACTGGCGGACTGACTGCACTTAAATGCCAATCTGCTGGGCCAGACCCGAGTAAATGTGCAACGTGCAGAAGCCAATGACGGCGGCCACCAGAGCCTTGACAGCAATCGTCAGCCAAGGTCCAATGGTCAGGATATGTAGGAGACCCTCTAGCCAGACGCCTTTGAACACGGTCACGGCCAGCAGTACGCTAACCAATGGCTTCAGTGCCTTGTTTAGATCGTGGCGCGTGAACAGCCAGATGAGCGTGGCCGTGGATATATGCTGAACCAGCATAACATTCGACTCCAGACACTTGAGTATGTAGATCCAGCTGAATTCAGTGCCACGGGCACCCACCCAGAGCATAATGCCACGTGAGAGTATTACCTCGGCAGTGGCCCCTGCAAGAATGATATCTTAATTGATTTTGATCATAAATAGAGATTGTTGAGATAACTCACAGCCAAGACCAGCCGTTATTAGTTTGGAATGTCCCTTGCCAGGTATACGGCTCAGAATCAGGGCAAAACCAAGCAAATCGGCTACGTCCACGCTGCACCGGAAGATTTCCTGCAATGAAAAAAGCACACCTTAACCTTAATGCAATGCAAATATGGCGCGGCTACTGATGGACTCACCGCAAAGAAGTTAAACTCTCCGTTGCCAGTGGAGGAGGTATCCGAGTAGAAGAATGTGGCCAGGACAAGCATCTTGCAGAGCTGAGTGAATATATATATGCCTCCCGATTGCACGACCTTCCAAAATGCCCCATATTCCGAGCTGTCGGGTCAAAGCAGAGTGTGCCGGGGACAGAGATATAATGAATGTTTTTATTGATTCAGAAGCGTGACCCACATTGAAGGGCCCAAAACTTACAGGCCAGAGTATTTATAGGTGAAGTAATATGGCATTAGCAAGGCTACGCAGTTTCCAAAATGATAGAGCGTCATTTTATTTGATAATTATGGCTATTTTTCTTTATTAAATTAAAACATATGAGGAGGAGGAAAAACGCAGCTGTCACTTAACTACTATACGCGGTATCGATATCTGCATATCGATATACGGCCTGCTATCAACACGTCATCTGCCATCTGTGAAGTGTGTTTGGGTGTGTGTGTGTATGCGCGCCCGTGCCTGCGTGTGTGTGTGTCTGTAAGTTTTCTCGTACAATTGAGCAATTTAATTTATATACACAGCCAAATTCCAATGATGTTTAAACCAAAATCAAAGTTATAGAACACACACCTGATCACGATTTCCACCTGTAAGCCAAAGAAATAAGAAAACAAAACATAGAAAAGCAGGCGACAAAAACACACAAAAGAAAAAGTTTCGCAACGTAAGGAAAGTCCAGTCCAGATCTTTTGTGAATATTCCGTGCATGACGAATGCAAAAAGAAAACTAGCAACGTCAACTCGTGGGGGAAAAGCTTAACTTGAAATGAGATGCAAACTCGACGACGACTCCATCAAACGGACCAGCAGGATTACAGCAGCACCTATAGCACCCTTCAGGCAGCGGAGGATCAACAAGCGTCTGGCAGCGGAGGACCTCACGCGTTAGTACAACCTGGGCAGCAATCACCGCTGCAGCCACCAGGAGTCACCCTTGACTCTGCCATTCACATTGGCGATCCGCAGTCATTGGCTTCCGCCCAGACGACAGACTCGGACGACAAGTACGGCAAGGCAGCTCGTCAGTGGAATTTGCGTGCCTTCTCTGGCCAGGCACTGCGCACATTGAGTGCCGCCGCAGCTGTTGTCACCGGCAATCATCCAGGCGACAATAACAACGACAACAATTACAACTACAGTGGGACGACAACGACTCTCACAGCCACACAAAACGCTCAGCAAGAGTCAGACTTTGACCCAGAGCCAGAGCAGGAGATCTTCATTATGGCAGCAAGAGATCGAACGGGAGAGTTCGCTAATGCGATACGTTCGCTGCAGGCCCGCAACATCACAAGGGCCGTCAACATCCGGGATCCCCGCAAGGCCAAACAGATTCAAAGCTATTCCGAGTTCATGATGGTGGCCAGATTCATTGGCAAGAACATAGCCAGCACCTATGTCAAGCTGGAGAAACTAACCCTGTGTGAGTGATTGATTGGTATTCAAGTGGCAAATGGCAGAATTCCTCATATAATCCTATTTGTTGTCTTTGCAGTGGCCAAAAAGAAGAGCCTCTTCGATGACAGACCACAGGAGATACAGGAACTGACCTACATTATCAAGGGTGATCTGAATGCATTGAATCAGCAGATTGCCCGCCTGCAGGAAATCTCCAAGGATCAGCGACGCAACACGAACGGAAAACATCTGGTATCACATTCCTCCAATATGGTTCTAGCCCTCCAATCCAAGCTGGCCAGCATGAGCACGGACTTCAAGCAGATTCTGGAAGTGCGCACGGAAAATCTCAAACACCAGAAAACGCGCCGCGATCAGTTCAGTCAGGGACCAGGTCCCAGGGCTGCTCATTCCGTGTCCCCATCGACGGCCAAACAGGGCTCTCTGCTGATGAGCGAGGAGAACCAAGCGGTCAGCATAGACATGGGCGGCAGCAGTGATACATCGCCGCTCCTGGGAGGACAGCCACCCCGCCTGCAGCAGCAGCAACAGCAAATGGCCATCTACGATGAGTCCGACAATTATGTGCAACAGCGCGCCGAGACAATGCAGAACATTGAATCGACAATTGTTGAGCTGGGCGGCATATTCCAGCAGCTGGCGCATATGGTAAAGGAGCAGGAGGAGATTGTCGAACGCATCGATACGAATGTTGCCGACGCAGAGCTGAATATTGAGGCTGCGCATGGCGAGATTCTCAAATATTTTCAGTCTGTCTCTAAGAATCGTTGGCTGATGATTAAGATTTTCGGTGTTTTGATATTCTTCTTCCTGTTCTTTGTTGTTTTTATGTCATAATCCAATGGCCTCCCTCTTACCTACCCCCACCCCCTCTGTATAACATCCAATTATGATTAAACAAATTTTTGGTTTTGTGAAATATCTTATACTATACCATATTATTCCATGCTCTGGCCACCCGAACCGAAACGATTGTAAAAAAAAATAAAGTATAAAGATACGTAAAAACGTGTAAAAAATGTGTTTATTTGAAGCTGCCAATAGTAGGTGGCCTCCAAGTCGGTTCCATTATTCTATCTATGTTGGTGTAGTTGATAAGCATTCCGTAATCTTGACGAACAGAAATGTGTGGGTGGGTGGGTGTTTCTCCATGTCTCCGGCTAGTCGAATAATCCACTATCTCTCAGGCTGCATATATAAAAATTGTACAATTATTACTTCGATTTGACTTTTATTTAATGCTTAAAATCCAACTAAACCACAGATGCGAATTGCAAAAAAATAATACAACTTTACATAAAAATATAAGATTAAAAAAAAAACATAAGCAAACAAGAAAATGCTGATCTGATCTAATAATTCAATATCGCTTTGTTATGAATCGCACTTATGGGATGTACACTAAACTGTACAGAGGTGAAATATATTGTTCGCGGCTGTGAGACAATCTCATTTGACGAGGGACACAGGGCACACCACACACTCGGCGTATGTTTTTATGACAACTTATACACGATGCAGAGATCCCGATCCCCAGGCAGCTCTATGTGGAGATGAGCGAATAAACCATGCTAAAATTAGCCAAGAAATGTTAGACAAATGAGTGTACAGTACGCTGAGGAACAATTGAATTAATATGCATCGCTAATTACCCGTATATGTAGTAGAAAAAGCTAATCAGATAGACGGCCAGCTTGATCCAACCCTCACGCATGTTGCGCGACAGGGTGTCCGTCTTCAGCACCGTTGTTGGATCATATAAACCCGGCCCGGACATCACGGGACGAGTTTTGTACCTAAAAAGACAGGCGGAGGATAGTCCACATTTGAATTTGTTCTGCAAAGTGAGTCATTATGCGGGCTGCTTACCGCCAAATGTGATAGGCAATGAGGGGTATGTTTATGGCCAGAGAGAACCATTCGCCGCACACCAAGAATAACAAATTGAGGAATATGTGGAGCAAATATTCAGGTAAGACTAGCTGAAAGTAGTAAAAATCCATTAAATACATGAACACATCCCAGCGCACTGAGCATACGCACCGGATTAAGGCTGTTACATTGATCTATTGGATTTTTGTAATCTGTTTTAAGTTCATCAAACGCAATGACATGAAATATTGCGAAAAATATTAAAAATGCATCGCCAATCAGGGCGACGATGTAGGTGAAGGCGGTAAAGTTGAACACCATCGTGTAGACAGATAACTCTTGCTAAGGCACGCTACTAAAAATATCACTTTACGTAAATTTTTGGCTTTTTCAATTGTAAAAACTAACTTGTTTTTTTCGTACAAGGGCGGCGATGATGACAGCTGTTTATCACTTTGGTTAGAGGTGTCAAACCATCGAGGGCACTATCGATAGTATCGAGCTACAGTTGTTGCGAATACGAAGACAAATTTGTAAGCAAATCGACTGGTGGCATCTTATTTTTACAATGGACAAGTTCCTAAAAGGTTTCGATGGTACGTAAGATATGCACAACTTTATATAGCATCTATTAAATGATGTTTAATAGCATTTTTTAGTAATAATAATTTGAGCCCGATACTATCACTATAGTATCGATTGTGTCTATCAATCGTTTGACAACTCTAACTGTGTTGTTTCGTGTATAAAAGGGTCACAAATGCCTAGAAATTTACTTAAGTTTTGTTTCTGTAAACTAAATAGAAACGAAACTATCCAAATACAAGCATACAAGCTCCCTTTGTTGCGTTCAGTAGTATATACTGCAGTATATTCAGTATATTTTGACGAGCAAAAGAAGCATTTTACCGAAAGCCGCTTACGGTCACACTGCATTTCCAAATCGAACCGCCATTATTGTTCGCCAAACCAATGAAAAAACCACATCCAAGTGATAGAAACCGAACGCTTGTGCAATTACTAGACAACTGATTAATCATAATTCATAATTGAAACTACCTGACACCCCCGAACGTTTGCCAAAATGTCCCAGTTCAATTTTGTGAGCGATTTGCAAAATGCTCTGATCATGGACGGCGAGACGCGCGGTCCTGCCCCACGCTGGAAGAAGAAGCTGGAGGCGTCCCTTAATGGCAGCGTGAATACGACGCGCTCGGTATTGTCTGTCTCGTACAATACCAGCTTCTCCGGCGTCCAGGCGCCCACCAAGACGCCGGGCAAGAGTAGCGAAGGCAAGGCCAAGAAGTCGACCACAACGCCAACAAAGACGCCAGGCGGTGGCGATCGTTTTATACCGAATCGCGCGGCCACCAACTTTGAGCTAGCGCACTTTCTGGTGAGTGAAGAGCATCTGCAATACCATTGATTGATTGCCTCTCAAAATGGCGTTTATCTTTCTGTGCGCAGGTAAATAAAGACTCGGGCGACAAATCGGATGAGGAGAATGACAAGGCCACTACTAGCAACAGCAACAGCAACGAGAGCAATGTCCAGGCCTCCGCACACAAGGGTGAGCGACAGAAGCTCATCTCGGAGGTGGCCCAAGTGGCTGGCGACAGCAATGGTGGCCGCATTTTATGCTATCAGAACAAGGCACCAGTCGCTCCAGAGTCGCACACGAATCCCCTCAAGGTGGTTTACTCCATCAAGACACCCATATCGACCAAGAGCGGCTCCCGTTATATACCAACCACTTCGGAACGTATTCTAGATGCTCCAGACTTCATCAACGATTACTGTAGGTTGCATCTTGCATCCCCTTTTAAAGCGTGCATCCTCCAATCCTCTCTCGTATTTCTCTTACAGATCTAAATTTAATGGATTGGAGCGGTGACAACATTGTGGCCGTTGCTCTGGGCAGCTGTGTGTATTTGTGGAACGCAGCCAGCGGCAACATTGAACAGCTGACCGAGTTTGAGGAGGGCGACTACGCTGGTTCGCTCTCCTGGATACAGGAGGGCCAAATCTTGGCCATAGGCAACAGCACCGGCGCCGTAGAGCTCTGGGACTGCTCCAAGGTGAAGCGTCTGCGTGTCATGGACGGTCACAGTGCTCGCGTTGGCTCCTTGGCCTGGAATTCGTTCCTCGTTTCATCTGGCAGTCGCGATGGCACCATTATCCATCATGATGTGCGCTCGCGGGAGCACAAAATCTCCTCCCTAGCCGGCCATACTCAGGAGGTGTGCGGTCTGAAATGGTCAACGGATTTCAAGTACTTGGCCAGCGGCGGCAACGATAATCTGGTGAATGTCTGGTCCCTGGCCAGCAGCGGTGTGGGCACGGCCAGCGAGGCCCTCCACAAGTTCAATGAGCATCAGGCGGCCGTGCGCGCCCTGGCCTGGTGTCCCTGGCAGCCCAGTACTCTGGCCTCTGGCGGCGGCACTGCTGATCGCTGCATCAAGTTCTGGAACGTTAACAATGGGTCGCTGATAAAGTCGGTCGATTCCAAGTCACAAGTCTGCTCCCTGCTCTTCTCCCGACACTACAAGGAGCTGATATCGGCCCATGGCTTTGCCAACAATCAATTGACCATCTGGAAGTATCCGACAATGGTGAAGCAGGCTGATTTGACCGGTCACACGTCGCGTGTCCTGCAAATGGCCATGTCCCCGGACGGCGGCACTGTTATCAGTGCCGGCGCGGATGAGACATTGCGTTTGTGGAACTGCTTTGCCCCCGATCCATTGGCATCCAAGAAGTCGGCCAGCGTCAATAGCAAGGCCAAGCAGAGCGTGTTCCGGCAGAGCATTCGTTAGAACAAAATAATTTAAGCCCTAAGCAATAACGTTATAACTATTGTAGACTGTGTGTGCCGTTGCCATAAGATATTTCCTTTTGTTTGCGTTTTAAGTTTAGAGTTATTTGCCGTCCTCTGTTCCTGGACTAGAAAATTATATATTGAATGCTTTACTTTAATTCCTGTTTGCTGTGTTCTACCAAGACGATATAGATACTAGAGAGAGAGAGGAGTTTGTCTAATACTTTATTTAGTTTAAGAGCTTAAATATGTATAAATAAAATGCCCGACATTCTGCATCCTTGTATGCTTTATTTTCATTTTAAGTACTCGTACATACATACATATATTTATGTGTGCTTTGCGTTCATTCTTTCGGGTCGTGGGGCACGGAAGAACGTGTCTCAATGATTATTGCATACATTTTACTTATTTTTTTTGTTTGGTGGTGCAGAGGCAGGGGCAGGAACAGCAATTGAACCAGTTTGTTAAGTTTTGGAATTCGGGTTTTGTTTTTTTTTTTTTGTGCGTTAATCGTATGTGTATATAGATATATTTTAGGCTAAGTTATGGGGTATGTACAAGTGGTTAGGGCACTCAGGCAACTGTCATGGGATTGCCGCCGTTATAGCTGACAAAGTAGCGCGGATCACCAAAGCGATCGTACATCTGCAAGTACACAAAAATGGGGTATACACAATAAAATGTTTGCTAAATTACATACAAATTAAAATTGTTTTAAATAAAAATTGATATTTTTTTAGAGTGACTTGTTAACCAAAAAAATAAATAAAAAACAAAATCAATTTTAACCAACAACAGAAGCAAGTAACAACAAACAATTTAACAACAAGAAACCAAAGTTGTACGACTAAAACTAAACACGTTTACATACCTTTGCCCATACAACATCATCTTCATAATTTAAAAAAATCTTCGTTTTTATAATTTGGATTTTTTGTTTGTTTTTTTTTTTTAGAGTAAAATATTTATTTTTTTCAGTCAAAACATGAAAACATCAATTAGATTTAGCTAACTTAAGGTCTAGTAGAATTTATGGTTCCATATTATTCTGCTGCGTTAAGAGTTAGGGGGGGTGGTAAGTATATAATTCATCTAGGGGCTACGCACACACTCTCACATACATATACAACAATTACAAACACACTGACATGCGCACACAGAGACATACAAGAATACATAGTAGTAGATGTAGATGGATAGATAGACAGATATATAGCAACGAACATCAAGAGTTTACATAAAACGTCAGCTTATAAGAACAATTGTGACAGTGTTAACCACAACTACATATACAGTACATAAATATATTTATGTATAATTGTTATAGTTGTGACACGCACTGTGGTTTACGGACATCAGCATACAGTAGTAAAATGTATTGTATATATTGCAGTGTTTGTTCGTTACTTGGTTGGTTGAATCTTTTCTTTATCTTATTTTGCAGTTGTTTTTCTCTTCTTTCAATGGGTTCTACTAAAACATAGATCCCCTGTCTAGATGATGGACTTTACTTGCTGCTTCTCTATTGTTTGATTTCTTTCTTTTTCTTTTGTTTTGTTTAGTTTTGATTTTTTTTTTGGTTAACAATACATAAATGTGACAATTGTTTATATAGTTTCTAACAGATTGTTTCAACTGAATACCAGTTCAGCTTGAAGGATTTTCCCTTCCTTTTGTTTTCTTATTATTTTTGAACATTTTGGAAGCTGGTGGTGGTCCATTTTTCTTGCTTATCTTCTAGTTTTCTTTTGTTTTTTTTTTCTGTGAATTTATGCTGTCACGCTCACCTTCGTATCGTCTAGATCTTCAATATCGCTACTATCGTAATCACTATCGGGCGGCGTTACGGTCTCGGCACCGCGTTTCTCGAGTATATTTTGCATTCGGGATTTGTTCATGATGCACGCAAACTGATAGGCCGTCAGCCCGGAGAAGGTGGCCGTCTCCAGATTGAGCTTCTCGCACTCATCGAGCAGGAAATTGGCCAAATCCTCGTTGCACCCCTCAATGGCAATGTGTAGCGGTGTGCGTCCCGATTTACCCTCCTATAAAATTATCCAAAAATTGCATTTAATTTAAATTTTCTTTTATCAGTTAAGAGTATTATTTTGGACCTACCCTAGCGTTGATATCAGCTCCATGTGATACCAAAATGCGTAAAATGTCAATATGACCAGCTTCAGCAGCCAAATGTACGCAGCGTTCACCTGTAATCAAACAAAAAAGACATTTTGATTAAAAAAAATTCATTAAAAAATTAAAAAATACAAAAAAAATTTAATATTTAAGTTCGTAAATTTTATTTAGTTTGGAACATTTTGGAACCACTGTGCCTTGGTAAAAGCTGCATTTATGAATGAAATGTGATCGATCTCTTGCTCTCAAAGCTCTTTAGCCATCAAAAGCTCGCTCTCTTCGAACCGCTTTCAGTTGTAAAACAAGTAGCGTTTTATAATACGACTACAAAAATAAAAGCTTCGATTGAAGCAATGACCAGTGGACGGAAGGGGTTGCCATGTGGTCTGGAGGGTGGGGCAGGGTAGGGCAGGGTAGGGTATGTATGGGGTGCCAGCCAAGTGGAGGCTTTTGCCATATAAGACAATATGACAACGCGTTCACTTCGCATGTCTCTTGCTGTGTGTGTGTGCATATGTATTTGTGATTGCTTGACGAGTGGAGTGCATGGGTGTGTGCGTTGAAAAACCCAAGAAATTCCCACAATAAAACAGCAGCAATAACACACACAGCAGAGCACAACAACAATAACAACAAAGGCAAGCAGCAGCAGCAAAAAAAAAAAAGAAAGAAAAAAAAATCAAGCAGTTGCCTTTAAAGTTAACAAACCAAAAAACAAATACAAAAGTTGGATATTTGATTTCTGCTTCAGCAACAAGTTTGCTCAAGTTCAAATTGGTTTGAACACACTAAAGATACGAGAATCCGATACAAATACTATAATATACACGTAGCTAAATCTCAAATAATTTAATTGACATTTAAAATTAAAAGAGATCCCGAATGCTTCTATTTGACTGACTTTATGAGTACGAGCGTACGGGTAAAAGGTAGACAAATGCGAATTATAAGTTGGCAACGTACAAAAGGAAGTATGAATATTGTTTATATATTATATACTGTATGTGCATAATTTGCTAAACTTTTAACAATATTTGACTATTTATATTTTATATTTTTTATAGCAATTTGAAGACTTTTAGAGTCTGTAGAATGCACTTGTACATCTGTATATTTTTTTACTTTATTTCTCTAAGATAATAAACCAAGATAAAAACTAGATACCTTGCACTATTACTATATAAACGGTATTTCTAGCCTTTATTTTATCTGATCTCTCTACAATTCTACTGCTGTTGTCTCCGTCTCCCATCTACTCGAATCATTTTCTCATTCTCAAATTGAGCCGTTTACTGCTTGCTCAGTTAGTTGCTGCGGTCGGGGTCTCTCGTCTCGCATACATATTATAGTTAAAAAACAAAAACAACAACGTTGAAAACAAAGGCAGATTGTTTAGTTTTTTTTTGTAGTATTCCATGCCATGCCATGCCTGGGCCTTTCGCGTGATTTTATGGCTTTATGATTAGTTGACGTAGTCTTTTGGTTTTTGCCTGGTTTTGTTGCTTTTATTTTTTTTGCGGCTACACGTGCTGTTGATTGACTTTCACACACAAACAGCAGCAGTCGGCACGGCAACCCCATTTGCATAATATCCCAACACCCAACAATTGTAGTGGGAAGATCTTAGGAGATTTCCGCAAGTGACTATACAGTCACTAAGCCACTTGCCTATGACTACGACTAGTATTTAGGGAAATGCAGTAATGGTCAAAGTTTGAAATGTAGTATGAGTCAGTCGAAGCCTAGAAGCAATAAACCATGTGCCAATCTAGCCATGAACTTGAGGCAGGGGCGCGAGGGACAGGAAATCAGGAGGTTATCACCAAGAAAGATTGAAAACAAAAATAGATCATGGCATATAAAAAACCAGTACCTTTTTACGTTTCCAGTTCCGTTTTTTTTTTTTTGCTTTTGCGACTGAAGAAAGAGAGAAAGAAAGCGGCGGCAGCGGCTCAAGAAAGTCAAAAACTCTACAGTCCAGTTTTTTCTTTATTTCTTGTTTGTTGTTGTTTTATTTCGGACTCGACGACTACGATGATTGGAGGTTTACAAAAGCAACAATTGTGTCACAAGCTTTAAAAATAAACGATGACAACATGAAGAGTTTTTTCGTGTGTGTTTTTGTCTCTGTTTATTTCAAAGCTCGACTAACTAAAAGGAGAAGCAGCTTAGACTAACCGATAGAGAGAGAGAGAGAGAGAGAGGGACAGAGATGGGGCAGGGGCAGTAAAAGACACGGCACACAGTCCTCAATTGTTGTTGCAAAGCTCGGATCCGAGCAACGTGCCAATCGTTAGCATACGATTAAAGATGGGTAGGCAACAGATAACCAACAGATCTAGCAACTCGTATATGGTAGTTATTAATAGACATAAACATATGTACATATGTATGTACATACATATAAAACATGAAATATGAAACACAAAAGTTTGTTTCAAACTTTGTTTTGGGAATTCCCCCCGCAGCCGCTTTGCTGCGTCACATTAAAAAAAACCTTTAATCCGTTCCACAGTTCAAGCGAGCGTCTAAGATTTTTTTTTTTTTGGTTGGGAAACTGGAATTGCCTGCCAACAAGTCTGTGAAATATTGAGCCCCTGACATGAGCAAATATTATAATGATAATCGAATTGGTGAGCATTTTGTGAGCCGTTTAATAACTGTTATGAAATCGTGCTGAAACTGCGTAGAAAAATAACCCATGGGAAATTCTATTTGTCGAGCACTCGAACGACAATTAAACACTTTCACAAATGCCATCCACTTCACTTTACGTCTCCCCCACTCAACATGCGGAGGACTGGGGGTACCGTACCGCCAGCCTGTACTGTATGACTATTTATACAGGCGTTGGCGTCCGGCGACCTTATGTTAACTGTTATATGTATTTGGAGAAAAACCCAAAAACGGCGCAGTTAAAGGTACTCGACAAGTCAAGTCACCCAAAAAGTCGTCGCAAAGTTCATAAATTTATTGACAGCTCGCAAATATTAAACACGATGTGTTGCCCTGCTGCTGCTGCTGGCTGTTGTTGTCTTTCGTTTAAATTTAATTAATTGTGCTTATTGTTGAAGCAGGCAGGCCAGGCAGATCTCTCAGATGGGATCTGTTTTTTTTCCTCTTTTGTTTTTGGTATTTCTACAACGGGTTTTTGGTGCGGTGCGTG